ATGACAAAAAAAAAAAAAAAAAAAAAAAAAAAAAAAAAGCAGTACGGTAGGTAGTCTGCTTTTTGGGCAGGTTGCCCACTTCGGGTTATAGTCCTCCGACTTCTAATAAGGCTCGCCATGCCCGTATGTGCAGCCTGGTCATGCAATATACTACTTCGAGCTAGGCACAGCAAGCTTTTTGCCTTTCAGCTTCGAATTGAAGATTTTGCTTCGAGGAGGAGAGAGGAGCTTTTCTAGCGCTACGTACGCCTGGGAGAGTGGCTGTTCTCTCGCTGCTGGAGTGACTCATTGTAGTTTGTTAGGCCAGCAGAAGTGAGGTTTTCTGAGCCTACTTTACGGAAAATCTGGTTGTTAGCATTTGCAGCCTTTGTGATGGCGTCAACTGCTCTTGCCGGTGCCTATTCCCGGAGTCTGGTGCTGACATCATTGCCTTCGGTGGCTGGGCAGTCAGTAGGGCAGAGCTTTCCGGCCCCTGTTGCAAGGCCCTGCTTGATTGAGGCGATGCGCAAGAAGAAGGCCACTAAGCATCATGAACACTCAAGGCCAAAGAAGGTGAGGGCTTCTTTATTTATGTCCAGGTGGCAAGAGAGGACGTAATGTGTCGGTGAGGGTGTTTCCATTCAGCGGTACTCTGATGGTAATGGTCGCAGGTGTCGTAGCAGCTCACTGTGCACACCCCTACGTCAACAGAATCGCGTGCAAGTCCGGTTCCGTCCAAACTAGAAAAGGCTGCCCTGAAATAATGTAATGCTTCAAGCGGCCGAGGGTGCACTTGGATGTGTTCTTTCGAACCCCAAACCCGCACACGTGAGTTTTAGCTCGGGTTTCAGGGAGACAGTGAGAAGGGGCATTGCAGACCCTCACTTTTCGCGAGGAAATGTTTTCACTTGAGCACCTTGATCGCCAATGCAGCTTAAATGCGTATCCAGCTTTCTTTGCACGCTCTTTGACTGTCTTGCTTCTGGACTGGTGGTATGTTGAAGTGTCCAAGTCCACTTTGCCTCAAGTGTTTGGGGGGCACACAGTTCACCAGCCTCAGAGGCAGAAAGTGCAATGGTAGTCAGCTAGGCTCGAATCTGAGTGGCAGTAGGAAGCCTTGTGCTTCTTTTGGCTAGTGCCAGGATCAGAGTTTTCTTGGAGAATTTCTAAATTTGAGGCATCTGGCTTGTTGGTGCCCCTCCGACGGTCTTTCGTTGTCAGGAGATTCATCCGGCCTCTTGTGACGGTTTTTGCAGCACAACCCGTATGACAAGAATAGGAAGCCGCCTGTTTATGACGCCCTGCCGCCGCGTCCCCCAGTCCTTGTTGCTGAGAGCGACTCGGAAGCAGTGCAGCAAGCACAAACTCTAATTAGCGGGGCTCATGAAACACTGAGGACCACGATCGCATAGAATCTCTACTCTGACAATCGAAACAAAAGAAATTCTTCTATGGGGGAAAAGAACCGCTCAAAGCATTGGCTGCGAGCCGTCATGGAGGAGCTTGAACCGCCCATTTCGGCATACATTCTGTTCTTCCAGTCTGCCAGAGCCCTTTGGAGCAATGTATTAAACTTATGAAGAGATCGCCCTTCTGTATAGGGGGTTGGATAGCCTCGATCAGTCAGAGGCGTTTCTAGCATTGGGTGTTTCTTCTCAAAGACGATTTCGTTGAGTAAAGGTTTCAACGAAGCTTACTCTCCATTCTGCTGAGTTTGAGGGCCCGCAGCTACCACAATCTCGAAAAACAAGGTTCTTCATGACGCCAATTGGCAGTGGTTCAGGACGAGCTAGGCTGGCGGGGAGTTTTGGGTGGTGCAACATTCTTTTCGCATGCGTTTACTTTTAGGATGATCTGTGGACGCATGCAGTGCGGGCCTGCGTGCTGTAGAGAGTATAACGCCCATGCGAGTTTGTTGTTACGTTATTTAGATGCGTAATTTGCGCGGGCAATGTCCGGGCGGCTGTTGCCACAAATATTTCGTACGCGTCCGATTCGATCTGATCGGTAAGTACACATGGTAAGATTGCAAGTATGATAAGATCAATCGTCGACTTGTGCATGATGCAATATAGTGTGGATCGATTAAACGCGTCGGGAGCTGCACCGGCAGTATATCTTGTTCACTGCCGGACGCAGTATTCCGCGGGCACTGATTGCCCATGTAATTATATATGTTGACTAACGCACGAATGCCAATGATGCATGAGCTGCAATTATGATGACAATCGTGCACTAGCGCGGCGCGCAAATCCATTAGAACATATATATCAAGATGTACCGCGGCCAGCAACTATAGCTCAAGTTCTGGATAATTAGTGCAAGCTTGCAGTGAGCCCATGCCAGGCGGCCACAGTTCAATTCAACGGATGTACCAAAATGTACATAATTCGTGAGCTGTAGGTCGAAATATATGCAACCATCAGATCACTTACAAATTGCTTGAAAAGTATCATTACTGACTCGTTCAGATCGCGGCCTAAATTGGCTCAGTCAGTACTGAGCCTAGCGCATGCCGGCCGGATTGAAACAGCACATACCATGTGCAGGCAGCTGAAAAGTGCGGTATACGTTTGACCACGCACTGCGTTTTGGATTGAGCACTTAAAGAGATATGTTTTGAATGCCACAGAAGCACACAGGTCGAACTTGAAAGGACTGGAATGAAAGTCGAGTCACTGTCTGCAGAACAGGCACATGAAACTTTAGACGATATTCAACTGTACACGGTGACAGAGATGGTGACAACCAAGCTGTCCAAGCATGAAATCCTAAGCCCAGACATCTCTACATGGAAGCGGGCAGGTGTGCGCTCGTTCCACCCTCGTCCTACCTCGACTAGGCTGACCCTGCCTACCCCTTACAACATCAAGCCGGACGCGGCGACGCACACATTTGGCAGGCGATTGAAGCATTGGGGTTTGCGTACGTGCAGCGTTCGCAGGGCCAGTACGCAACTTCGTCTAGCATGTTAGACTTGGGCCTGCTGCTGCCTCCCTTTCCCTTCCCCCCCTTGCTCTTACTTCGCGAGCTTTTCGACGTCCCGGCCTCGGCTGCTGCCTTGCCGTCCACGCTCTTCAGCCCCGTCTCCAGGTCCCGGACCAGGGAGTCGAAGTAGCCACGAGTCACCCTGCAAGGGAGCGGGCAGGTCAGACGGGCCATCAGCAAAAACTCCGGGACTGGGTAACTGGCACCACCCTTCTGTTGCACAGTTACCCCCTCACAGCAAGCAAGCAGGCCTTCCGAGGAGGCCGCAAAAGGAGCTTACTTCAATCCAAACAGCATGCCCGCCTTGACCAGACGAACTCCTTCCATACGCCATAGCAGGAGAAAAACGAAGACGGCAGGTTGTCAAGACGAGAACGCTTACGTCGTGAGTCCCGCGAGCTTCGTCTTGAACTCTGTGAAGGTCATGTCCGTGGGCGCGGCTGGGTCGTCATTCAGGAACTGGTTCAGGTCTTTCTCTGCACACTGGTGCAGCCGCTCTAGGTTCGCTTCCGCGTCCCCTGCACCACCAAATACGGCGAAACGTGAGACCAACATCAACGTAGTGCAAAGAGGTCTCGACTTGCATCAAGGACACAACACATGACCAACAGTGGCTCGCAGATATCCGCAGCCTGGAAAACTTTCGATGCATAGCCCGTGAACCTGAAGCGCAGACTTGGCCAGCTGTGCCAAATAAGTTCGACTTAAGATTCATATGAGGCCGGTCAAGAAACGAATCGATCACGACAAGGGGTGGATAGTACGACCTTACCTTGCGAGTATTCGAAGAAGTTTTTCTTAGCAATGTCCTCGTCTGGCAGGTAGTAGCCATACGCGTACGTCCACTTGAGCACCCTCCGGCATTCAACAATCTGCGCATCGACGGGGAAACAGCATCAGCAGGTGCCAACGCAAATAGAGCACGACACATCCAGCAAACAATTGCTCCACAGATGCGGAACAAGCAAAAGAGGTGCGGTGTTCAGAGCCGCAGCCGAAGCACCTTGTGCGTGTCAAAAGCACAAGTTTGACCGGTGTCCAGGGCCTATCTCAAACTGCAACACTCACCTGCTGCAGTGCTTCGGTGATGAACTTGAGCTGGCTCACGGGCTGGCTCTGCCTCTCGCTCAGAATCTCAATCTTGTCCCCGATGTTGCGCAAATCCTCCAGCGCTTTCTGGCGAGACTGCACAAGCAGAATAATCGGGAGGTGAGGCTACGAACGTGAGTGTGAGACAAACGCGAGCAGGTTTTCCTGAGACTGCGACCACTGACACGGAAGACGCAAGCAGCTCAACCAAACGTGCTCTGGACAACCACCATTCCTAAGACCGACATATGCTGGCCATGAAAGACGAGGCTCACCGACTCGTTGGTCGCCCAACGCTCGTAGTAGTGGGTGTACTTCTCCAGAGAGTTCTTGGCCATCTCACGCCGACGCTCTGCCTCGTCGTACTGCACAGAGATGACACTACGGTCAGGTCGGCCGAGCAAAGATATGGACCGACAGGAGTATGCGAGCAGTCTCACACAAAGAGATATACTTTCTCCCCTGTGTAGAGTCCTTTCCGACGACTAACCCGGAAAAAGACCTGCAAGCGCAACACCAACGTCGATGCTTACCACTCCCTCCGTCTTGGCAGCCTCGTATCTGTTGCAGGCGTAGAAGCCACCAGTGCGCTCTCCGTGCTCAGTCCAGGGACCTAGGCAGAGCCTGCCAAAAGCAGAGCAGTGTCAGAGCACCACAAGAACACGGAGAGACCTGACGGCCAGTCTAGATCGTCAAGTGAATCACAAGAAGGAGTGCACAGGCTGTCTGCAAACTCTGCCTATTGACAAGCCGCCAGAATACACGCCCTTCCGACTGCTTCTGAAACGTACATCCGAAAAGCATTTCAGAGCTTGGAACTACATATGGTACGAAGAGGGCGTTGCAGGGTTGCCAGCGGTATGGCCGCGGTTGGGGCCTCACCAGCAGAACTCGAACTTGCACGGGGGTGTGCAACTCATGTGCATGCAGCCCTGGTTCTTCTCAATGGGCCGCTTGCACTTGGGGCACGGCTTGGAGTTGGCCAGAATCCTGCAGCGCCCAAACAAAACGCTCAGACAACCGGTAAGCGTCAACAAGATACACAACGAAAAGAACCAACCTACCCGTAGGGGGCTGACAACGATCTTGCATTAGAGATCAAGACAGTGTAACGCAGGTGCTCATATCCGGTCCATCTACCTCTGACAAAATTCGAGTTCAACAGATACCACCAACCATTGCTCCAATTGCTTGACCCAGACCCCGCCAGGATGCACCCCGAGGAGAAAAGGGTCCCAGAGCATGTGAATATAGAAACGGCACACCTACCAGTTCATGTTCTCCGATTCGGCACTGTTCTTCAGAATCCACTTGTTGACAGTGGCGCAGTCCACTGGCCTATGAGCCTCTTCCACGCACTGCACAGGAAGGAAAGGAAACAGAATAAGAATTTGAATGATAGGCTCAATCTAGACAGTACATATGCCACCATTTCCAAGATCTAATCGCTGAAAGGTTGAGTCACTCCTCCGCACCTTCAGTATGTTGCGGCACGATCGAGAGGGGAGCACTTGCAGAGACTGGCATGAGCAGAAATATGGTAGGTTCCTCACCTCCCAGCAGAAGTTGTGCCCGCAGCGGCATAGCACGTCCATTGACGATGAGCCCGTGAGATCCTCCACGGAGTACACGCACCCAGGGGCAGGGCACCACTTGGCCTGCATCAGCGATCATATCTGATAAGCAGACTGTCTCATGGCCAGGATACGGAGGTGACAGGGCTGTGAAACCACAGGGAATGACAAATCTTTGAAAACGAGTGCAATTGTTGACTATGCGGTACCACATCCCCGCTGGTGCAAGTGCAAGTGCGCCCAGGCGGGGACACTCACCATGCGGTTGTCTTCCACGTAGCTGCGCCTGGCATACTTGAGGAACTTTTTGCGGTCCTCCTCATCCACCAGCTGCAGCACCATCTCATCCCCCAACACAGCATTGCAGTCTGGCTGAGCGCAGCGCAGTGTCAGGCAACCAGGCCCTTCCCCCACCTCAGAATGGACATACCCTGCAAAAAACAGCGGTGCTGGAAGACTCAAGAAGCTGTGACGAAAAAGAAATGATCTTCTGATCTGAGCATCAAATCCATATCTACCAGTCAAATGGGTAGAATCTCTACAATAAACCAAGCATCCTTTGTGTACATCGAAAGCCTTCAGTCCACCAGAAACCTCCATCAAAGCCGCCAATAATGGTACGTATCTGTAGCACAGATCAAGATATCCAAGGGCAGGCACTCACCCTTCCAGCAGTCCTTGCAATACAGATGACCGCAACGAGGTGCAATCATCTCGTCCCTGCTGAAGTCGTCGAAGCAGATGCCACAACTGACCTGCAACAGCAGGATTGTAAGACGTGCTGAGGACCGTGTCCACAGCAAGAATCTGAGGCACCGCAAACCCTAGTCAACACCAGGACTTCATGAAATGAGCTTGACAGACCAGGTGGACACCACGTCATTTGAGCGAGGGAGATTTGAAAGGAACACATCAGGTACTCCTCTGAACGTCCGCAACAAGTGCGAAAAGCATGCGCTCGAGAATCAGAGGCGCTTTACCTTCCTCCTGCCTCTCCCAGTTTCTAAACCAGCTGGATGCACAAGTCCAACAAGATCCCGCACCCGCTCCTCGTCCCCAAACCATTCATCGTTGACACGGCTCACACTCCTGTGTAGATAAGTTCTCGTAAGCAACACACCGACTCACTGCGACCAACAGGCATAGCAGACCAACAGGCAAAGCAGCAGAATCTGCTCAAGGCCCAAGACATCAAAGCGCAGACAGCAGCAAATGGATGCAAATGGCACTAGGCCCTCACCGCTTGGCCTCAAAAACATTCGAAGAATCACAAATTCAATACTGCGAAAGACCAACCTTGATATGCAACAGATGCCTTCTGAAAGTAGAAATTATTAGGAGTCCCAGAGCCCGACCACTTGATTGCCTGTCTTTTAACTGCAGCACTTTGGTTCGTGCTGTCTTGAAGGTCCACATGCTTTCAGGTTCCAATTCAACAGCTGTAGTGTAACATCGAATGGTTCAAATGATTAACGCCTACCATTTGAAGTGGCGCAGCAAAATTGTTGCCTCTTCCTCCGTGACAGAGAGCACAGAAGCAACACTCTTCACTGCCTCTGCCTGCCGCGCCTCGATGTCTTCGTCAGATAGGATCGCATAGTGAGCCTGTATAAGACGCGCGGAGTTTTGAGGAAAGGCAACACGCGGTGACGGCAAATCAGGGGAAATCAAAGCTTGAATGACAAGAGGACAAAGCCCAGGGACAGGGCAGCTATGCAGAGCACTCTCTACAACTTTTTGGAAAGAGGAGCAACAACAGGCAAGGGTTTCATGTAGGTCTATGCAGCCACCTGACAAATGATCACCGTCTCTGATTTGCTTGATTCAACAACTCAGACCCCTAACCCACACAAAGCAGATACATACAACTTTCACGAACATTTCCTTCGCAGAAGACTTGAGAAACACCCAAAGACAGGCTTCTGCTAACATAACCTACCGTTGGTAGCCTGGAGCTTGGCTCATCGTCATCTTCGCCCATGTCCTCATAGCCGTAGTCATCATCACTTGCTTCTTGTGAAAAATCTTCTTGGTCATAATCACCGTAATCATCATCCGAATCTTGCATGTAGTCCTGCTCGTCGTCAGAGTCCATCTCCACCTTACGCTTCTTTCCTACAAGCGACGACGTGTTGCCTGGCTAAAGGCCGTATCGCCACTGGCAAAAAGCAGAGAACCCAAAGCAACAGTACCTTCTTGAAATACAGACCCGTCTTCTACATACCTAAAGAAGGACGGCAAATTGTTACACCATGCCCCGACGTGCCACACCTCAGCTCAGGGACAAAATATTGAAAGGAGCTTCAGAGGAGCTTTTAAAATCTAGGACTCGAGGGCGCCTTCCTGTTTTCTGCTTCCTGCTTCCTGCTTCTTCCTTCTTTTCTTGCTTGGAACTCCGAACTTGGATTCGGAAGTTGGGACCTGTGGTGTTCACTCAGACTCAGAACCGGCCGGCTCAGGATTACGGTAATTGACGATTTTCAGTTCAATGCAGATATTGGCTGCTGGTATAAGCCCGTACAATCCGCTTCTGAACCGGCTACTGATGGTGTTCAAACGGAATTGTTGAGGTGCGCACCCACAATTGTGCACGACTCAAAGTGGTTATTTGAAAGCGTCAAAGTTTTCATTTAACAAGGCCTCTCGGCATGTCTCGGCATCGACATGAGAGCCCGGGAGATCATCTCAATTTTGCTCTTAATTTTACGGATTGCGTATCGTAAGGTTTTGAAAGGTATACGATCGTACCCCTGCCGCCAAATCAAGCACGGTACGCACCGGGTTCGTTTCTGGCTGATGTAGGCATTCCCAAAGCGGTGCATACCGGCGACTCTGCGCGAAGCAGCTGCCTGCCAGGTGCTGGAGACTGATTCTGACTGACGACCAAGTCCACATGATGAAGCCAGAGCTAGGAGCCTGGCAGTGGAGGCCGGCGCAAGAGTCGAAGGCCAGAACATCAAGCTACTCTTGCTAGCTAGGGGTTACCGCAGCTTATGGAGGAGGCATCTAGTCGGCAGGCTCGACTGCGGGCATTGCGAGAGAAGGCGGCTGGAAGTCAGGGGCCGGCAAGCGGTGCCCAGGGACCTCCGACGGGGCACCTCCCCCAGCCATTGCTTGCGGACCCTTTTCCACCAGCTCCACCCCGCCCCACACTTCCAAGTGGGCCTTTCAACTTCTACAGCAACCCGCTGTCCGCATATAGTACTTTCCAACCAGCTCCTTTGCCTGCCTCAGGGAATGTGCTCCCTCCTTCCAACCTCAGCCCTGCTCCGCTCGCTCCAGGGACCTCTTGGAGAGCGCCTTCGCAGGGCCCTTTCTCCGGTAGCCAGGGTCTGCTGCCAGGGCCGCCTCCAGGACTGCCCCCTGGGTGGCCGCAAAGTCAATCGCCCCATCAAGGTGGAGGCGGCAGACCTCAGTTCAATAACCAAGGAGGCTGGGGGACCAGCGGTGGTCGGCCAGAGTTTGTGAGAGGGGCCTTTCCGGGCAGAGGGTCGCCGGCTGCGCTTGGCAGAGGAAGAGGCGGGGTAGGGCTACATCATCCAGGCGGGCAGCCTCGATGGGAGGGTGGTAATGCAGGGGGCCAGGACCTGTCGCGGGGAGCGAAGGCGCCGCGCTTTGACGGCGGAGGGAGGGGAGGCGGGGGAAGGGGAAGTGGGGGGAGGGGAGGTGGGGGAAGAAGGGGTCGTGAGGAAGAGCAGAGTGCGCGAACAAACCCAGAACTGTTCTTTCACAAGTCCATGCTGGAGGATCCATGGGCGGAACTAGAAAGGGCGCATGCACGCAGGCCAGCTGGTCATTCCGGGGTCGATGAGAGCTGGCTACCACCATCTTTGCAGCACGCTAACAAAGGATCCGCTGCTCCGGAAGTGAAGGTAGCTCTGGGTTCGAGCTTGGCGGACGCACTTGCGGGTGCGCTGGATGCGGCTCACAACTTGACTTGAACTGTCCAAGGTGACAGCTCATCAAAGAGGGACGAGCGGCCCGTCGTATACACTGATTGCGGGCGACACTTCTTGACGACCATCGAGCAAGCTGTCCAGGCCTTGAGATTGGGAACAGATGTTTTGGTGAGGCGATGGCTTGTGCGTTCTTTGGCAAGTCGTGTCTTTGACTCCCTTTTGTTTCAAAAGGCTCAAGAGTTTCCGTTCAACGGTCGTGTTTGTTTGTCAATCATTGCATAATTTGGAAATCGGTCAAGCACTTCGACCCTACACTTCAAGCATTCAGTGTCCTACACATCGTCGTCTTCGTGCAGTAGCACTGTAGAACCGGAATCGGCTTCAGATTGGTCAATTTACCTGCTGACATGGCGGCCATTCGATGCCTCTGGAGGGTTGTCACAGAATATACTTCGTCATAATCGGTGCCTGTCACACCTTTTATTGGAACATTTGGGAACGACCCTTTATGCATTGTTGCAACTCTGCTCGTCGAACTGCACAAGTCTGATGTATTTGGTTGGAAATTCACCCGTCGGTGTGGTCCTTTAACAGCCGCTTCGAAGATCATGCCCCTTACATTAACCTTTTGTTCACCTGCCAGGTACTTGGCCCTGCTCTCTCAGGCACATACAATTTGTGGGAGGGCTTCTTGTAGGCCCTCCATAGCATTCGGGTTCCCAACTCGAAGTTCGTGTTTGTAGACTGTAATTGTCCATTGGACGTCCAAGCAGCTTGGGAAAGACGCAAATCTCTAGACATGACGATAGCTGCCCACCTTTTCTCAGCCTGCACGACTTGCCCGTCTGGTTCACTGCACTTGGATCTATCTTCACAATCAGGACAGGTTGCAAAGAAATCAGGGCTCGGGGAGCCTGGGTTGCTCGCATTGAATGGGCACCCTGCTGAGTACGGTGACGGTTTGAGCGCGCCACTGGGCGCCTAAGGGTTCTGATTTCATGAAACTGGGTGGGTATTGTAAGCTGAGCATCTCCGAGCCTGGTCAAAGGTTGGGTATACTTTCTTTTGAATGTTTGTATAGTAATGAAGAACGTGCCTGTATATACTGTTTGCCTGGCACACCGTGCAACCGGGATGTCATTACCTTGTAATGACACGGTGCGCGTACAATTTACATGTATGCCACTCATGAAATAATGGCGGCCCCGCAAGCGTACTGATATACGTATGTATACATAGTTCAAGCTCTAGGCACGTTGCATGGGGACCACGTCTATATATGCGTATGCCGTAGATATATGCTCGAACAGCGCCGGTCCAATATCTGCTGCGTGGATCGATTGTGTCATGTTTTGCCTAGCTAGCTGAGATTCAGGATATTTTAACACGAAAACAGGGAAGCTATCTTCATACTTGCACAGCAAAGGGAACAACTTTGGGTTGATTTTAGTTCACCAGCATCCCTTCTTTGCATAAGTTAGCAAGTGGCTCGGGCAGAGCGCCTCAAGCAGCAACAGCAGAGCCTGCCAGCTGCTGGTGACCCAGCCCTGTTTGGCGTAGCTCACAGAGGGCCAGCAGGAGTTGAATATGCAACGAAAATTCCGCAAGTGGTTCACCTCCTGCGGCAGTCTGATTTGACAGTTGAGAATCCTTAATGGAGTACGGTGGCGATGACAGCTTCTCTGCACAACAGCCCTGGGCTCTTCTGATCAGGTTGCGACTACCACTTCATTGGCTTTGATGCAGCAGAGCAGACACATCAGATGAAGGACATGTCGTCTCGACCTGAATGATCGTCATGCGGGTCGGCAGAAATCAGCAGCATGGACAGCATTTTGGCAAACCTATCAGTCGCATGTACGGAAGGTGTCGCTCATTTTGAAGACACGTCAAGACGGAGGAGGTCAAGGTAAATGTCTGAAAACGAAGTATGAGAATAACGTGTCAGCATTGTCTCAAGTAGCTGGCCGCTCTCGGGACAGCTTTTGAAAAGGCTTCTAAGAGTTGTCGGTCCTGGATCGAGGCTGAGGCAAGGATCATCTTCCCGTGGGCTTGCAAACACTTCAAGAGGGTCGTCTCCAGACTGGTGAGCCCAAGGACACCTGCACGGACAAACGCGACGACTGTATCAACGGCCAGCTAGGCTGAGCACAGTGCTCGAGTCATCCGGCCGTGACAGGTGAGTGACTAAACCAAAGCACTCCCCCCTTCTGGATAGATGTGGTTTAACGTCCAAACCAAACTGCACGGCGCCTGCCGATGAGGCTTTCCCCCTCGTTCATGCAAGCAGCATCCAAAGTGGCCCAGCGAATTAGGGCGGGGATGTTTCCAGGGTCTCCGCCCGCGTCCCCTCACCCAGCTCCAGCGGCTGGCCGTCCTCCTCGTCGCCCCCCTCCGCGTCGTCCTCGCCCTCCTCCAACTCGCGTGCCGCGGCCGCATACCGCGCCAAAAAGTGGGCCTCCGTCTCGTCCTGCTCGCTCTCGTTGTCCTGCCGCAGTGACAGGGCGCTCCAATCAGAAATTTTAAGCGAGAGTTTGTAAGACACGGGCATCTCATTGTAGGTACACCATGGCACGCTTAAACAAAGCGAAGACTTCGGCGTACGTGACGGATAAAAGGAATTGCATGGCCGCCTCTCTGGTGCAAGGACGTCCCACAAGGTTCAGATCAAGCTCGCTGCTTCTGTCACCTGATTTTAGAGCTGACCGAAGCTTTGCCACTGCAGCAAGCCTAGACTACTGGACAAGCGTGCCAGGCCGACTTGAAACCCTTCGTGCGCTGCTCCCCCTCACCTCCTCCCCGTCGTCCCCTTCCTCGTCCTCTTCCTCGTCGTCGTCCTCTTCCTCATTCTCTTCTTCGTCCTCTTCCTCCATTCCGCTGTCCTCCTCTTGCAGCTCCGCCTCCCGCAGCAGTGCGCGCATGGCCCCCTCCAGTGAGGCCGCCGCCACTCCCGCCTCTGCGGGCCCGCCGCCCGCGGCAGCCAGAGTTTCCGCCACCTTTATTAGAGCCGCACCTGCGCGAACCAAGGGAGTCATCTCCAGTCAGCACGGCCCCCTTCAATCACTGCGACAGAAGGGGTAGTATCTAGTCGAGTTTGTCACGCTTTTCTCGCTACAGGCATGCGCCGAATATGGTTCGGTCCAGCAAAAATCTGGCTCCTGTCACTTGACTGAATCAGACGCAGCCTTGCCCTTCACGTCAAAGACAAGTCGGGGGTCCAGATTTGAGTCGAGCAGAAGATCTTCGGCAAAACTTAAGCAGGTAGGAGTTCTACGAATCCGAATTTTCTCTGTTCCCCTCTCAAGCAGCTGAGAAGCCAGAAGCCCTGAAAGACACGTTCGGCGGACCCGGTGCTTCACCCCAGCTCCCGCTTGGCGCGGCCGCCTGACCCCTCTCACCTGCGAGGTGCGCCTCGGTGGGATCCGTAAGACCGTGCTCGTTTCGCGCCACCACTTCCGCGAGGCGCACCGCCCACTCCGCCACGCCCGCGCGAGCCTCCAGTCCCGGCCCCGCCTGCTCCTGCGCGCCCAGCGCGGCCGCGAGCGCGGGGGTGGCCACGTCGGGGCTGCACAGGAAGCACGTGGCCAGGGCCAGCACCAGCGGCTTGGCCAGCGGGGCCGACCGGGAGGACAGCGCGAGCAACCGCGCGCCGCACGCAGCAGCCACGCGGTGCACCACCGCCTGCGCACAGACGGGGGAACGTCAGGACGAGGCACACAGCCGAAATGGTCGGGCATTTGGCGATCTTGGGGCAATTCTGGCAGTTGATCTTGAAGTTCTGGCGGTGCCCATGTCTGACGGGCATTCGGATGCCGTTGGCACTGACGAGGCCGTAATTCATCGAAATCTCTTGTTTGTAGAACAACAGAGGAGAAGTCGTGCACGAGTCTTTGCCAGCTGTGCGCGTAGGGTGCGTGTCCGTAACCCTCAGCTGGCCGCCGCGGGTGCGCCGCCGCACCTTGGTTGCTTCGTGGCTGTCGAAGGCGAGCGCGGTGGCGTGCAGCAGGGCGTGCACGCGGTGGCACGCGCGCCATACGCCCTCCGCACGCGTGCTCTCGATGGCGTCCGCCAGGAAACCGGCGATGGCCTCCAGCGGGGACAGGGGCGGCACTGGGGGAAGGGGGGCCGCCGGGAGAGGGGCCACGATGAAGTGGGGCAGCAGCGCAGCTTTCTGCACAAACGAAGAAGGGTCGGGCTTCGAGGGAGGGAGCTAGGCGGAGATGTTCCGGTACCCACAAGCACTGCACAAGCACCGATGAAGCCCCTGAATGCACCCCAAAAGATGAACAACACTTTCTTTTTACTGACTTAAGCGTTGAAGCTCTAAGTGAAGCTTCAAAATTAGCCGAGATCTCAATCCGGTTTTGAGAAGTTGAGACGTAGAGCAGCCGTCCCGCTTGGCGGTCCGGCGGAAAGCAGCCGGCGCCGCGCACCTGTTTCTCGACGGCCTGGTCAATGACTGCGAGCGCGGCGCTGTCCTCCTCGCTGCTCCACGCGTCCCACTGCGACAGCAGCCCCGCCCACGCTGACACTAGCGCGCTCACGCGCCGCCGCTCCACTGCGCCGCTATCATTGGTGTGCCTGCGCGGAGCAGCGGAACACCGGAATCAGCACAGAGCAAGGACGTCATCCAAAGCCAGGCGCGTGGACACGGTGACGACAGGCTCGAGAACCCCTTTCGAAAGGTGCTCTATTTTGCGACTAACGCAATCGCAACTCTACCGACTTCCCACTTGGGAATCGCATGCTCAGCAGTGCAACCCACAGTCAGTACGTCGGAAGGCAACAGCGCCAGGGCGTGCCACTGCCCGCGCTTTTGATCTGTGTGGAGCGGTGTGGTGCTCACTGGAGGAGGCTGGCCAGCAGGACGGAGAGGTCGTGCAGGCACGAGTCGGTGGGCGGCTCCGCTTCCTCTGCGGCCCCGGGCGGGGGCAGCCACGCGCGGGCCAGAAACGCAGCCACGCAGTCCGCCACGGCGGCCTGCTCCGAAGGGGACGGTACATACGGGGGCCCGGCCTGAGAGGGGAGGAAGGAGGGACGTCAGCACGGGGTGCGGGGCAGGAGAAGGTGAAAGTCTTCGGCTTCGGTTAAGTGGTCGAAATGCGATGAAAGGGCAACTTCAGGCGGTCCTACCAACACTGGTGCTCCCACCTACAAAAGAAACTTTCGGAACGCTACTTTCGAGTTGCAAGGGGCCGTTTCTAGTGGTGCCTTACCATCACGCTCCCTCGTCAAAGAGACACGAGCAACAGAGAGTCATAGCCAGATCCGGAATCAACGGAAGAACTCGGCATCCTCGTTGCACGGCACCCCCTACCGCACCCCTCCTCACCGGCTCCTCCTCCTCCTCGTCGTCCTCCTCGTCAGTGCCCGTCGCGGCATCGTCGGATGCCGTCACGAGCTGCGTCAGGGCAGCGACGCCCGCCTCCGCGACCGCGGGCCAGGGGGTCGCCCGCTCCTCCGGCAGCCGCGCCACCACCGCAGCCATCAGCACCGGCAGCAACGCAGGGCAGTGGCGTGCCACCTGGCACAAAAACGACAACCGTGCGGTCAGCGGGCAGGAGCGGGCGGGCCCGGAGCGAAGATACGGCGGGGATGCCAACCGCGCCCGGCAAAGTGCGATTTGCTGGAGCGACTGCTCCCAGCGTGGGCCCGGCGGGCTGACCTGGGCGTCCCCGGTCTCGGCGGCGGTCTGCAGCAGCTGGAAGGCGCGCGCGGTCTCGTCGTCGTCGGGCGAGCGCGACGCGGCAACGGCGGCCTGCAGCAGCGGCAACCACTCGGGGGGGACGAACTCGGCCTGCACACACAGGGGCGGGGAGGTCGCCTCACGCAGCGACGGTGACGGACCCGGAAAGACCGGGCAGCAAATATTTATTCGAAGAAACAAGAAGGTGAACTGAGCGTGCCTTCACTGCAGCAACGCAGATAGCTCGGATAAGATTGACCACTCGAAGCGCGTGCCGTCTTGAATGCGAGCAGCCGCCAGCAAGGGCGCTGTGTATAACCCATCGTTGCGCTCGTGCAGTCACCCCTGCACGGCGTGACTCCGAAAAGCGCATCGTCCGGATGTCCATCACGGCCTGGTTCAGGAAATGGCAAGTTCCAGTTTCCCTCACCGTGAGCAATGCTCGAAGGGCGCCTGCCGCGGACAGGCGGACCGGCCCCGCGTCGAGGTCGTCGGTATCGGGCCAGGTGAGAGCCTTCATGAGGGTGTCGAAGACGTGCCCGCGCAGAGTATCCCCCGCCAGGCCCGGCGCCTCTCCCGCCTGGGCGTGTCGAGCGAACGAAACTAAAAGTCAAACGGCGAAGGACTGCCAGGATCGCGCATGCAGGGAGGCAACTCCATAAGGGGAAGGCCACGTGGTCGAAGTCTCTACCGGATGCGGGTCGTCATGCACCTGGCAACACGAACCGGGACGATACCCGCCCGTAGATCTGGCTTTGTGAGCGTGACGGCTGACCTTGGCGAGGTGGTCCGCGTACTCCCCGAGCAGCCAGTTGGCGGTGGCGAGCAGCAGCGGCGACGGGGCGGGCTGCCCGTACAGCGGCAATACGCGCGAGCGCAGCATGGCCACGGCAGCGCCGGGCTTTTGGGAGCGGCTGTAAAACTGGGGGCCAAACAGGGGACGGGGTCAGGCAGGAGCGGAGACAGAATCACGTGATGACGGTACGAAATTTTCTGTTTTCGTGATCGCTTACTTGTTGTAAGAACGCAGAGGTAAGATTGGCGGCTTATTGACAGCGAAACGCGGTGATTTTGCAGCCAGGAATAAGTAGAACATGCAGCCAGATGTATTACCGATCCCGGTCCACTACAGTACTTGGAGGAGCATACAAGTCGGGGATTGTCCTGTCTTACATTTTGGAGGGCTCCGTACGCTTGAAGCACGCCGTAGTACCTGGACCACAACAAGATGCAGCAAGCGTGAGACGATATTCGGCAACAGCGAAGAGAAGAGACTAGACACTCCCGTGCAATCGAAACATGGTCGAGCAGGTTATGCGCAGCAGGTGCAGGGACGTGGCTGCGCTCACTGCGCGACGTCGCTGGTGCTTGTCCCGGTGGGCATGGCGTGCTGCGCGAGTGCGGGCAGCACGATCAGCTCGCCGGCTGTCACGTCCTTGGCATCGCGCAGCGGCCGCTTGCCGCCCTTGCGCGCCGGCCGCGACGGCGAGCTCACCTGCACGCAGAATGGCACACACGGAATAGGCGCGAGGCGCTGAGACGGTCACCGACTGGGACGCGTCTTCGCTTCTGCAACTGCTTCCAGAAGTTGTACGTACGAGGCAACCAGCAAGTAAGCGGGACCAGCATGCCTGTACTTAGCCCTTGATTTTGGAAGGCTGCACAGTTTAGAGTACCTAAACTGCTCGAGCAGCGCTTGTGAGTGGCCCCTTCTGAGGCCTCGTGCAGCTTGGCTGGAGTTAGCAGCGGCTGTACCTTGGCCAGTGCGATGAGGCCCAGCAGGTTCTGTGCGCTCCGCCGGGGGCTCAGCAAGTCGTCCCGCCACCCGCTGACATCGTCCTGCCGATTTGCAACGAAGGAATATATTCGAACCTTCAACAATGCCGGGATGGAACCCGGACGGAGTGCGAGTGGTCTGCGAAACCTCAATAGGAGAAAAGAAGGTCCGAATAGTCGAAACGCAAATGGTACAATACATAGAGACTTGACACAACACACTGATGAGCTCCGTCCTACTGAGGGCGACTGATCGGGGTTACCGCACCATATCGTCCGGCAGGTTGCGGCTGAGGTAGGCGGCGGGGTCTTCCTGCCACTCGGTGACGTCCTGGATAAGGAAGCAAGCACGCACAGTCAGCGAGAGCTGCCCCTGAGAACCGTATTAAGCACGCACTGCTTTGGCCAGAATCGAAGCGGCACTGCTTTGGCCAGAATCGAAGCGGCTAAATCTGCTCCGCTGGTGACACTCCTGACTGCACGCATCAAGAGATCGACTGACGTCACCCCAGTTGCAGAGGCCGCGTTTCACCTGTTCCTGGAGAGCCAGAGCGGGGAAGATGGCCTGGCTTAGCAGCGCCTCGAAGTGGGGCGACAGCAGGCGCCAGCCCTGCACACGCCACGCGGGGGACAGCATGCGTCAGTGACGGCGGCTGTTCCTTCTCATGGCTGCACTGCAGTCTTGAACCAATAGACCCGAGGATGGAGCCTCCTACACCATAGTCATACTTGGTGGGACTTCCTAGTGCTTTTCCGATCAGGGTCTCAGCTCTGGCTGTCGTTCTCTCCGACCCAGCCCCATCGCCAGTGCCATGCTCGTTTGCAGCCTTCCCCCTTACCCCGGGGAAAAGGGCACTCACCGGGCCTGTCTCCAGGATGGCGGCCAGCAGGTCGAAGGCCAGCGACACGATGCGCTCCTGGAGCGGGTGCAGGCCCTGCACGCGCCACCACCACGCACACTCGCTCAGACGGCACCAAAGGTGGGCCGCGCTGCTGCACCGTCCAAGGTAGGCAGCATGCTATGGCGACAAGAAGCGGACAACTTGACCAGGTGCCTGTGTTTCCTACATCGGGCTTCGATCCAGAGATGGTTGCCATACGTTCTGCCCACCTCTCGTCCGTGGTACTCGAGATGAGGCTGGGTGACGCACCTGATGCGCCACTGCTGCCGTGACAATGCCCACCGCCGCCGTGACCATCTGCTGCAGGTACCTGCCACCGCAGGCGCCTGGCAGGGCTCAGCGCAGACACGGCCGCAAGGGCCAGAACCAGCAAGGGCAGCCAAGAGTGGCGCTCCTGGCTGGACCCATGGTAGACCGAGGAGTCTCACAAAAATCCAGGAGTAGACGTTAACAGTGGTTTAAAGCTCTCCGCGTCAAATTTGCCACCGGAGCTCCGACTCGAAATGTACAGTTTTCGATCTTGAATTCCGATTTCGATTCCTGATCTTCGATACTTGCACACCCCTAACATGTCGATTTTAGAGAGGATGATTAGCCGGGAGCTTCATAAGAGTTCCCGGGTGGATTCAGAAGTCAAGTGACAGCTGCTTCATCTTCAGCAAGAATCACTGGCCGTTTACTAAACGTCAATCTCATCCCAGGGGGTACCGCCGTCCAAGATGGGAATGGGAACTTCACATTCAAGATCGAGAACCGCAATGCGACCGTTGGGGCTCCGGTGGCAGGTTTGACGCAGATAGCTGTAACATGAGCCAACGGTGGTGCGTGGGTTGCTCACTTGTCGGTGTGTTTCCGGTGGCGGGCAACCATGGAGGCACAGATCTGGAGGGTGCGCTTGACGAGGCGGAAGCGTGTGATGTGCCCTTCCTGCGGGTCTTGCACCGCCAGCACGGGGAGGGTCGCCAGCGCCAGCACCCCGGCCAGCCACACCGGCAGCTGGGGGACCAAAGCGGCAGGCAAGTGGGAGCGCACCTGGGGCGACAAAAAGCAGTGAGAATAGGCTCCAAGTGTAGAGGCGGGACGTCAGATATTTGTGTGAAATCTTCTTGGACTGGTTTGAACTTGGTCAAAGCAACGGTGGGGCATTTCAAGCAGACGCCCAGGCGGAGGCCCTGTCATGAGGTCGAGGCAGTGGCTCGTCCTTCACTCGGGGACAGCTAGGGGGCCACCTGCCGCAGAAAGCCTCTCACTGTGTGGTGGAACGCCTTGAGCAGCAGGTGCAGCAGCGCATCGTGCTCCGCAAGGCCTGCTTCATGGCTGGCAATCGCCTGCGAAGGGATTAGAAATGCCGGTCAGACCAACGCACAGTCTGCCTTGGACCAGCCTGGACTGGTGGGGCCAGATCACGTCTGGCCCAGCTATGATCTGCCTTTCGGTCAACGCATGCCTGGATCTACAACGAGAGGCCATCGAACGGGCGCCCAAACTCCGCCTTCACATGAAAGCTGCAACAAGGAGCAAGGCGCACCTGTTGCGTGAGTGCCTGGTAGATGCTCTGCAGGGGCTCCAGCAGCTGCGCCGCAATGGCCTCCAGCTGCGGGGGGACGGGCTCAGCCACCTCCGTCGGCTTCTGGAAGTACTGCACGCATCACAATGCCAGGGGCAGGCGGCCCATCAGAGGACCCATCAGTGCAGCACCGAATCGCACGGGGCAGCCTCTGTAAACGAAGACTACCTCCAGCCAGCATGCTTACAGGGGCACCCGTCAACGTGGGCCATCGAAAGTGCCAGCGGGGTACAGAACAAAGATATCAGCCTCATTTCTCAACACATCACCGCAGCCCTTCTCCGACACACTGGCGTGGTTGGCGGGCCTACTTGGAAGGGCTTGGTAATCGTGTGCACTGCCACGAGCGCGTTGTACGTCTTGATGGGTGACACGGCGCTGCCGGCCATCAGGTTGCTGTGCTGGATGGCGGCACGCAGGGCAGGGAGCAGCTCCGGCCACTCGCCCGTGTCGCGAAAGTCGTGCATCACCAGTACGCGCAGCTACACACCCAAGCAGGCGGAACGGGTTTGGAATGGCATGCGTCCTGTTTGAAAGACCAGATACTCACTAGGAATGGACGGTGCCAGCTTGGGGTTGGTACACAGTGGAATGCGCAATGCTGCAACCTCCCCTGTGAACCCCTGGTGCCCACATGTTTGGGTTGCCTCACCGCCTCTGCCAGCTGCTTGAGCACTGCGCCGTCTGCTCGCATGACCACCTCCAGCAACTGGGCACGCACAGTGGCGCGCTCGCCCGCTGGGAGGCCCACGCCGCGGTCCTCGGTGAAGCGAGTGGTGCGCACATAATTCTTCAGGTAGGTCGCTGCAGGCAGCGAGTAGCCGGCCAGCGGGACCACCGCGCACAGCGCCAGCAGCTGGCTGGCAAAGCCTGGCAAGCAGGAGAGGGCGGGGCATGGTTAATGGCATCGTGCACAATGTCTGGAGGCAGCTGACATCCTTCCGTCCCTAACAATTGGCTGAAAAAAAGGTGCAGAATGAGGCACAAACAAGTCCACATTGGAAGTATCTTTGCCATCTTGCAGCCTGTGCGCATCATGTGGTGCCAAAGATAGATGTGGTGGCCTGATTGTTGCTGCGAATTAGGTGGCCAGAACAAAAGTCCAGCTGTCTCACCAGGCTGTCTCTGCTCCTGCTCCAAAGCTGTCGTAGCTTTCTTCACAGCTTCTCCATCTCCTGTTGTGGCTTCTAGCAAGTGTGCCAAACGCTCCATGGCTGCCAAAATCTTCCCCAAGAACCCAGCCCACTGGGCTTGATGCTTAGACCATCCTTGCAGATGCTACAGAAGCAAATGATCTCATTACCATGGTGGCAGCTAGAGCTGGTGCAGTTGACAGCTGGATTTACATATTTTTGACACTGTTCCACAGCCAGCGCAAACCTGATCAGTCAGTGAACTTGAGAGTTGGAACTTCAAGTTGAAGTCGACGAGTTGAAATACGGTAGAATGGCGGGAAGGGCGCAGTGAGTAGCTCCTATGCCAGCTGGCAGCGCGCGCCGGTTCAAACGGTCACCAGCCGCCTGAGCTACTACCTACTACCAGGCGGAACGCACAATTCTGAGATGGCCGAAACGCTGTCACAGCCGTCCGATCTTCACCTAATGAAGCCAGTCTGAGGGTGCACTTGGGCATTAGCTGCTAGCGACCAGGACCGGACTCTTAAGCTTGGGCCTCCTCCCTTGCGCCGAAGAGGACGAATCGGAGCCGTCAATTTGTTGACGTTGACAGGATGGACGATGATGACAGCATGGTCGCTTGTCCCCCAGCCATTTCGAGATTGTGCGTTCCGCCTGCTACCGTAGTCCAACGTGATGATTCCGAATAAACAAATAATTATTTGCGTTCGGAAAGTCAAAAATTCGGATTTCTCATTCGGAAAGTGAAATTTCGGAAAGGTAAAATAACCCTGAAATGGTCCTCGGAAGCCGTAAAACTGCCAAAAACAGCCAAAAAGCCCCCTTCTAAGTGAGACCATAGGGCGTTCGGATTGTTGTCGGAATCAGCGTAAATAATTCCACTTTCCTGGTCGGATTGTTGGAAAATAATTGAAATAAAATCGTTCGGAATCATCACGTTGGACTACGGTAAAAGAGTAGACTTACATTGGCACGGTTACATGGGTTTGTAGCAACTTTTTCCAACGGCACGGTTACTTCGAGTTTAGCGCGAAAGCAATCGGCCGGTCACCGAACGTAGCCCCTTGGAATGCAAATTTGGGATCGATCAGACGGTACTGTACCATGTAGATCTTGGGTACCGAGTGTGTACTGACCAAAGTTCCGAACCGTCCGATCCACTCGTTCCCCCCACGCGGCAAGCCCGGATGGAGTAACGGTGCGCCGTTGGCCATGCAACGGTGCCGTTGGAAGATTATCGCAGGGGGTTCCGAAGAATCGACCCAGTTGATCATGAAGTAACCGTGCGTGAAAGTAACCGTGCCAATGTGCGGTCCGGTTGCAGTTAAGTTTCAACAGTAACCGTGCCAATGTAAGTCTACCCTAGTGACTCTGAAGTCAACCGTACTACAGTGGCCCCGCGCGTGCCCGGCCGCGACGTAGTGTTATACCGTAGGACCTAAACCCTCCGACAAACCCTACGGCGCAGTACGTGTCACCAGCCGCGCGGCCGGCCTGCGCGCGTCGAGCTCATAAGAAATCAGAGCTGCCCCAGCCCCGGGCTTTTATTCAGCCACCGTCTTTGGTCGTGTCGCACCTGTCGAAAGCCGTTCATTTTTCATCGACGGTTGTGGCGCGTTTCACCACATTTGAGGCTGTCGTCAGCACTATTTGCTTAGTACGAATTATTAGTACCGGCGGTACTATTAAAAACAGTACCGCGGAGTCGCGACGACGGTAAATTTGATACCGGCCGGTACTATAGTCTGACAGTATTTGTCAGACTGTGTGTACGGCATTGAGTGCCGTACGCAATTTGGTACGGAAAATTTGGAATTCAACCGTCGCGCGACGGTATCGACCCCGGTAAACTTAGCACTGGAAGTCTAGTGAGCCTACATTTCAGTACAGTGCAGCCTCAGTGCACTACCCCAGTGTCAAATTTATTCCCGCGAACACCTCGGTACATGTCAAAAGTCAGCCTACGTCACGCGCGGCCTTCACCCAGACTGCGCAACAGGGGTGCGGACAGGATTTTGCCTCGAGGCGCTTCTGCGCCCCGGGCCTTTGCCCTGGGGCGCAGGCAGCTTCCCTGGGGCGCACAAAGTAGTACCGGGCCCCAGAAGCGCCCGGTACACTTAGCTTTTGCTCTATTACGGCCCTAGGAGGCCCTGGGCCCTGGCCCACCTTATACTCCTAATTAGCAGCAACTACATGTGGGACTTATCGGATCAATACGCTACTGATACTAGTCTGCTTATGGAAGCAGTAAATGCAGATACGAATTTGAATGTTTTCTTGAATGGCGTGGGGACAGGCAGGATGATAATCCGGACGAGTTCTGTAGGGGTAGGCACTTATATAAGATTGTCAAATATTCAGGCAGCACTTATGGCATTGAAACTCGCTCAGATTCTAGACTCTGTTCAAGATTGAACCAGATTAAGCACCCAATATAGGTAGTCCATGTCCCTGCTTAGGCCCACATTTGCCCGGGGGCGCTTCTGCGCCCCGGCTCTTCGCCCGAGGGCGCAGGATATTTCCCGGGGGCGCTCTGCGCCCCATTCTGCGCCCCGCCCGCACCCCTGCTGCGCAAGCCAATCAGAAACAAGTATTCGCGAATGTCGCTTGGAGGCGGTGGCTGATTAAAAGCCGGTAGATATTCTGAACTTTGATTTCTTATGGCTATAGCTGTATGATTGCACATATGATCGGACATGCGGATTATTGGGAATTTGGGCCCTGCATGAAACAATTGTCATGAATGATCGAACGCATATCATTGGATCGACGCGCGCATGCACGTACAATAATGGATCATCCGACAGTTTACAATTATACTATGGCCATTATCAGTTTACTACGTACCGGTACCGTCAGGCAATTGCGAAATTCTTTCAAGAATTTCTGTCAGTGGTATCTATCTAGCTACTAGCTGCATCATTGAATCACGCGATCAGATCGACCGCTTCAATCCGTTCATGATCGCGATCCGGGCTGGCATGATGTAGTATGTGATTATATATATAGCTCGTTAAGCTAGAACTCTTTGATAGCGCGAGCCGCAACTTCTGACAGAATTGGCAGCATCATTCGCCTCATGTGCTGCTGGCATTAGTAGTCATCAATGTAACCAAGCATGGACGTAAACCGGCAACACTGTGATCAATCCCGGGCCGATTGACAAACTGTTCAATGTTTCTTATAGCAAGTACTAAAGGAACACATTGGTTAAAGGGCACACATCGGTACAAAAGACTTGAACGCCTTTGAGGAGATGGTATAGTATGATCGCACGCAACTAATTCGTCTATCTTGCACAAATCTCAACGGAACCTATTTCAGAATTCCCAATGCAAGTGCTGTACCATCCCAAAAAGCGCAGCTTTGTGAGGCGACTTATCTATATCTTGCCAACCTTTAGGCCAAGAAGCAAGGGTCCCACTCTTTGAGTGAACAACGTGCTGAGAGCTGCTTGCACGTCTGCACTAGAATGCTCGCAACCCACGAGCTGCGTCAGCAGAGGGAAGAAGGTTTTCGTCAAGTGCTGCTCAAAGGCGGGTCCTTTCAAAGCCGTGATCGCCTGCAGTGCCGCGACAACCAGCGGGGACCGCGCTGTCAGCTCCCTTCGCCGCGCCGACCCCAGCGGCACTGCCCAGTGCTGCGGCCGCGCCTTGCCCCCCTCCCCGTCGCCTGCCCCTGCCGCGCTCGCGGTGTTGATGTACATGTGCAGCACCTCCGCGCAGAGGTCCACCAGGCGCGCCTCCACGTGCAGCGGGCCGCCCGCCGTGGCCAGCTGCGGCTGGTCGGCGGGCAGGCGCTGCAGCAGGGTGAGATACGCGTGGAAGGCCTCGCTCTCCAGGCGCAGCAGCGGCGGGTCCGCCATCTGCGTGAGCGCGCGCAGCTGCTGCAGGCGCGCCCGGCCGCGCGGGTCGCTGTTCACCTTGTGCGCGTGGCCGGCCATGAGGTACAGCACGTCCAGCAGCGCCAGCGTGTGCGCGGGGGACAGCGCGCCGTGGTGCAGCGCATACAGCTCCGACACGGCCTGCCAGAGCAGGGGCGAGGCAGGCTCAGGGTACGTGAGACACTATGCAAGGGCGCAGGGCGTCCACATTGCGGCACAAGTCAAATCACATCATGCTCGCCGACCACACAACCGGATCGACATGAGCACACGGTGCGGACGGCCTGGTGGGGCCGGGCCGAGCAGTGGTTCCTCACCTGCACCAGCAGCAGCTGCACCGCCGTTCGGCACCGCAGGTCCGCTATGCTCTGCTGGACCGACCCGATCGCCGCGCCCTCCTCCGCCCCCTGCCCCTCCGCCTCGTCGGCCGCCCCTGCCTCCTGGGCCCCTGTGCCCCGTCCTTGCGCTTCTGCGCCGCTGGCCCCTGCCCCGCCCTCTCCCGCTGCCTCCCCCTCCCGTCCGGCCCCATCCTCGCCTAACATCCTCGCTGCGGTGCTTGCCGAATCTTCCACGTCATCGTCATCCAGCGCCTCCCCCCTCTGCTGGCGCAGCGTGGCCTCCTCCAGGCGGTCCGTCGTGAGCGCGCTCAGGTCGGGCAGCGTGCTGCTGCCAGCGTCGGCCAGCGCCGCCAGCACGGCGTCCCAGTCGGCGGGGGAGAAGAGCGCGCCCGCGCTGCTGATGAGGCGCACGAAGGCGGCCACCCCAATGGCGGCCAGGCTCTGGTGCGGCCGCTTGATGAAGGCGGTGAGCAGGCCCAGGATGCGCGGCAGCAGCGGGTCGACCACCGCGTAGAACTTGACAAACAGGTCCACCACCAGCTGCAGCGCCAGCGTGCACGTCTCGTACAGCCACACGTCCATCTCCAGCCCCTCGCGCGTGGCGCCCGGCGTCTCGGTCCCGCCCCCCGCGCTGCGGTCGCTGGCCAGGGAGAGGGAGCGCTCGGCGGAGGCACGGCGCACGTAGTCGAAGATGGGGAAGAGGACGGAGTCGAAGACGCGCTCCCAGAGGGCGGGCGAGAAGAGGTGCCCGTGGTAGCGCAGCGTGTCAAAGAGCACCTCCAGGCTGCTCTTGCGCACGTCCGGCCGCGGGTCGAACGTCAGCTCGGACAGGCCTGCGGCACACACAGCCACGCACGGCCGAGTGTAAGACCACTGAGGAAAGCGCCCCTAAATTACAAAGCGCCAGTACACCGGAAAAACTGACAGTACGCAAAGCAACGCCGTCGCCCTCGGGCTTGAAAGCTCAGGTCACTGCAACCGAAGGTGTTCGAGAGATGTGCGGCTGCCAAGCTTCTTGATAGGAGGGCTGGTTGCCTGTCCCCTCCAGCATGGTGGGTGGCTCGTGGCTGGCGGGGCCGCACCTGCGAGGAGGGGGAACCAGAAGTAGAGGTGGTCGTCGCGGTCGGTGAAGGGCGCCTGCGGCGGCTCCGCCTTGTGCTCGCCGCCGTCGGCTGCGTCGCGCTGGTCCACTGGCTGGCCCAGCTCGCCCTCCGCGAGCTTGAGCGCGCAGAAGCGCAGGAACGCGATGGCGTTGAGGGAGACGTCCTTGTTGAAGCGGCTGTTGGTGAAGGCGATCAGGCAGTTGACGCAGTCCGTGAACGTGCTCGTCTCCGTCTCCGTGATGTACGAAAAGTAGTCGCGCACAATCTTCTCGATCGTCTGGAACGCCAGCGTCACGATGTTCTTGTGCTCGTCCGCCGCCGCCGTTGTAAACACCTGCACCCGCCGTGTTTCAAGGTCAGCAGGAGACAGCAGCGGACACAGCAGTGGGTGGCAATATCCTGGCCATAGAACCGCCTCTGGAACATGTGAAGTATGACTCGCGTGCTTTGCCTTGTATCTCGTCGTGCTTCCATCCCACTCATCAGTAAGCTTGACCGATGTGGATAGACAAGGCGTTGAGGTGGTCCCTTCCTGAGGCGTCGCCTCTTCCTCCTAGACAACAACCATAGTCAGACCGAGTAGGCTTCCGGTTTTCCCTGATCCGCAGCCGCTTTGTGTGCACGGCTGGCGGGTGGTGCGCGGGGCTCACCATGAACATGACCTTCCAGCCGGACTTGACGTTGCCGACACGCGCGAGCACCATCTGGGACATGCAGCGGATGATGAGCTCGCGGATCTCGACGGAGTTGCTCTTGCGCATGATGACCACGAAGGGCTTGAGGAAGTCGTTCTGGAAGTTGTAGTTGGCCAGCTCGTCGCGCTCCAGGAACTTCATGGCCAGCTGCCGCAGGCTGTCCACCGCGTACATTGCCACCGTCAGGTTCTCCGCGCACCCCACCGTCACGAAGTAGTCGCTCAGCTCCGCCCAGATGCGGCTCCACACTAGCCGGATGCGGCTCATGTTGAAGTGCCTGCGCGAGCAAAAGCGGCCGCACATCTTCACGCAGGGCGCGGGGGCAGCAGGAAGCAATAAACGCATGGAAACGGCCTCGCTGCGGACAACAAGCTGCCGACGAGTCCACGCTCGCCCACTAGGCGGCACTGTGCAAGGAACGACGATAGCACTGATGAGGCAACTGAAGGCAACAGCCTCAAGCCCTTCTTCCGGATTGTCCACTGGGTTAATCTCTGCAGCGAGTAGAAGCACAATTTTGAGAAGGTAGTCTTGAAGGAGCGCGGGCGAGTGCGAAGGTCCTCACGAGATCTCGACGATTTTGGTGAGGGAGAAGATGCGCGGCTCGGCGGGGGAGCGCAGCTCGTCCAGGGAGACCTTGATGATGGCCTTCACGAACTCCACGATGGCCTCGCTGTTGAGGCGCTCGCTAGAGGTGAAGATCCGGTTGATCTCCGTGCTGTCGATCTGCTCCAGCAGGCCCAGGTTCGACACCAGCGTCGCAATCTGTTCGCTAGTCACGGGGCCCGCCGCGTTGCCGCCCACGCCCGCGCTGTCGTAGCTCCCGCGCTTGATGGCCCCGCTCTGGATCGCCTCCGCGGGCAGGTGCGAGCGGCGGCTGCCCTTGGCGCTGCCGCGCGCCTTCTTGGCGTCGGGGCGCGCGCCCGCAAACAGCGCGGCGTCCGTCATGACGCCCTCGCCGATCTGGTGCAGGTGCTCGAACCGGCTGATGCACGTCAGCACGTGCTCCCACGCGTCCGCCAAGTGGTTGCCGTCCTCCTCTGCCACCGACATCAGCGTCTGCCAGCAACACAGCGCAGGCAAGGGTGAGGCCGAGGGGCTGAGCACGCCGAGGAGACGCGGTGGTGCCGCCAAAAACAGCCGAAATGCAACGAAGGGGCATCGGGAGGAGAAAACGAAGCAGCCAAAGACATCTGCGACGGGACAGCGTGGGGGCAGACCAAGGGGGCCTCGTGCAGGGCATCGCGCACCTTGATGGCGTCTATGTTCTTCTGCTTGATGTCAGCCGCAGAGTGCAGCGAGGTGAACTTGGCGAGGGAGGTGATGTAGGCGTCGCGGATGGTCTCCATCTGCATCACGGCGGCCACGTGGATGGCGTGGCGGAAGCCCTCGAGGCACTGGTACGTCACCACCGCGTCGTCGCTCTTGTCGAGCGGCACGCTGAAGGCCGCCAGCATGGGCGCCCACACGACCTCCACCATCGGGCGCACGATTTCCACGTCGCTCGCGGCGTTGAACAGCGTGCCGCCCTTGCCCGTGCCCTGCTTGAACATGTCCTGCATGTGCCGGATGATGTCCTCGCTCGTGTCCGCCGACACGTCGCGCTTGCGCCGCGGCAGCACCAGCTGCAAAATGGCCTCCAGCCCGCCCTGCGGCTTGGCAGCCGCCACTGCCGCCGCCCGGGCCCCCGCTGCGCCGTCACTCTTCATCTTGATCTCGTTCTTCACGATACGGTCGTACAGCGCGCCCAGGAACTCCTCGGGCAGGTCGCCATTCTCGTCGATGCCGCGGTTGTTGCGGATGAACTGCGCCTTCGACATCTGCGACCCACCAACACTCACAAAGTCAGACCACAAGCTCCTACCGATCATGAAATATCGTCCCTACGAGCCAGACACACCGTTTATACATCAAAATGCTTATGCTCCTAATTCTCACTTTTCTTTGCGATTCAATCTGAAGAAATTTACTCCTTCGCTATGCCAGCATTCACTTTTTTAGCTTCCATCAACGCGAGGCATGGTTGCACTGAAGGTTTGGAGCGCAGGGCTGACCTTCTGCTTGACCATGGGGTTGTGTGCGTCGGTGTTGAGCATGATGACGGAGTAGGCCAGCACGTAGGCCGTGTCGGCGCTTGAGAACGACTTGGGGTTGCACTTGCAGTAGCGCTGCGCAAACTTCTCCATCAGCCGATCGATCTTCTGCGCCTCCCCCGGCAGCCGGAAGCCGCTGAGGAACAGCCGGATGGCGTTGTCGAACTCGATGCCGGCAAAGTCGTGCGCGTCGACGTAGGCGTGCATGACCTTGAGGCAGGTGTCGTCGCGCTCGCCCAGGTACTCGCCCACCATCACCTTGTCCAGCCCACGCCCCTCGCGCAAAAACGCAGCAATCTCCTCGGGGGTGCCCCCCAGCTTGCCATTGCGAACCAGGAACTCGATACCCTTCTTGGGTTTCTTGTTGAACAGAGCAATGCCCTCCTGTAGCCAGACGGCGCAAAATCAGCCCAGGGTGGCGAGGCACGTACAACTGAGTCCTTTGTGTCGTTTTTTGTTCAGTTGACGAGTGCATGAGCGGTGTTCGACTGTTACAAAACCAAATCGTACACATTTGAAGAAACCCCACAACAGCGCGCTCGTTCCAAAGGACAAGGGAGTTCCTCCTGTCTGCCAGCGGCACACCTCGCGACCACCTTTGACATGCCGGACACCATCCGAGGCCCACCTGCAGTTCGATCTTGTAGGCCCTGCGCTGCTCGAAGTGCACCGCCTCCGAGACCTCGCTCCCTGCCCCGTCCAGGTGGTCCCCGCCGCCGTCCGACCCCAGGTGGTCGCCCTCCTCTTTCTCCTGTGCAGCCGACACGGCGACGGCCCGCCCATGCGCGGCAATCTGGATGAGGTTCAGCTGCTTGTTGGTCCAGCTGCCCATGGAGCGCAGCACGCCGACGAGGCACTTGACGGCCGCCAGCCGCAGCGCGCCGTCCTGCTTCGGCTCCAGCGTCGTCTCCACGCTGGGAGGGACGCCCTGCGCCGTCTTGAGCAGCCCGTTCACCGTTCTGCAGCCACACGACGGCGTCAGGGACAAAATGAGATCGCGATACGACTGCTGCGAAAATGAGGAGAAAGGATCTCCAAAGAAGCGACGGCGGAGGAATGACAAGGGAAGCACTTGATGAAGTAAAGAACAGGCTGCAGGCGTGCACAGAAGGGCCCCTTACTGTGGACGGATGGAAGTCGCGTCATGATGCCTGACCTCTCAAAGATGTTGGACGAATCGAGGTCGCAGTCGTAGTTGACAAAGACGTCCACCAGGATCTGGGGGTCCACGCAGAGCTTCTCCAGGAAGCGCATCACGATCATCTTCTGGGCGTAGTTGGGCTGCGCCACGTTCTCCAGCACGCGCAGCACGATCATGGGGAAGAACACCCCGATCTCCGCCTTGAGCCCCGCACGGAAGCGCGCCACCAGGCTCATGAAGATGGAGCACGACAGCTGGAACACGCTCAGGAGCGACGACGCGCTGTTCTTGAGCAGCGACAGGCAGAGGTACTGCTTGATCGCGCCAACAAACCTGCGGAGAAGCAGCCCTACAGTAAGAAACATTGGTAGAAAGGCTGACCAGCATAGCAGAAGAGTGACTGATATGGATGCATTCATATTGGTGATGCAAAGCAATCAGTTGAGCCCAGTTGTGCATGACTTGAGAAGCAGTGTTTTCTAACTCTCGACCAAGCACAACCAGCTGAAAGCTCTCTTAACCCAGATTACGCTGGAACCCTCAAATGCTCACGGAAAGCAGACGGGACAGAAGTTAGATTCTGCGAACCTTCAAAAACGACTGAGGCAACATAGAAAGAGAAGGGCCACTGCTTTCCCACTAGATCACCCTACGGCAATCAAGGCTCAGGTTTTAACTGCCGGACTTCTTGATGAGGCAGCCAGCGGGCGGGTGGCAGGTCACTCACCTCTCATTGGTGCGGAAGATGGCTCCCGCGTTCTCCAGCAAGATCTTAAGCAGCTCCAGCGCCACGATCTTGCCGCGCACCGCAAACGGGTCAATGACCCCCTCCTGAGGGGGGGCCTTCATGGACAGCTTGCACAGCGCCCGGAACACCAGGAACGCATCGCGGCGCAGCGAGTTGGTGTTGGCGGACACGCCCTCCTCCAGCTCATCGCCCACGTCCTGGCCAAGGCCCCCCTTCTGGCTGGCCTTCTTGGCAATCTCCTTCTGCAGGTTCACCTCCCACGACTTGGCGTCCAGCAGCGCCGCATCCTTCACTCCCTCCTCGTCCACCGGGCTGCTCTGCGGGATGGTGTCAAATGCGCCGTCATGCCGGTGCGACCCCGACAGCTGCGTCACAGGGGCGGTCCAGGCCTCCCCAATCTCCTGGACCACCTTGTTGATGAAGCCCTGGACAAACAGCATGGACGTCTGGTCGGTGGTCGACCGCTCTGCCGGCTCCATAAGGTCCGCCACCACAATGGGGGTCACCGCAACCTGGGAGGTGTCTGCCTCCATACGCCGGAAGACGAGGACGAGCATCTGCGTGAGCGCGGCCTTCGCCGTCGTCTGATTCACCACCGCCTTGCTCCCCAGGAAGATGTTGTAGCAGGTGCGCACAATCTTGAGCAGCGTCTCCCCGTGCACGTGCACGCTCTGGCTGGTGACGCCCGTGAGCAGCGCGCGCAGCACCAGCAGCTCCACCGTCTCGTCCGCAATGTCGTAGCAGCGGCACACGCCGTCAAACACCTCCTGCAGCAGCTTGGTGTCGGGTGTGGTCCCAATGTCCACCTCCCCGCGCAGGTGCCCGTGCGCCACCAGCTTCTGCACCAGGTCCAGCACCGGCTCAACAATTTTCACGCTCGAAGTCTCGCATGCCAGCTGCAACGGCCGCAAGATCAGCTCTGCGTCGCCATGGCTCACGGGGGTGTCGCCATCAAAGAGGATGGGCCGGGCAGGGATTCCCCAGGCAAAGTCTGACTCCTTCCCGGAACCACTGCTGAACTGCTGCGTGAAATCAGGCGACTGCACAGCTGGCTTAGCTTCTTCGACTGCTGCTGCCGACTCTGAGCGCGCCAGAGACGCCTTAACAGATGCATTCTGTTCTGCGTGCTCTTCCTGAGCAGACCCATTCTCAGCTGCTGACTCTGCGCCAGTCCCCGCGCCAGCCTCCCCTCCAGCTTCCTGCTCAGGGTTGGCTGTTGTGGCACCAATCTCTGGGGCTCCTGTACTGCTCAACGCCTGGCTTTCCTCGCTGGCTGAGGAAGCAGCCTGGACGTCCGCTGTTCCTTCACCCGCTAGATTCTCACTGGGACCCCTAATTGTGGAATCCTCCTCTGACCCATTCTCTTTCGCAGATCTTAGTGTTTCAGGCGGCACTCCTGCATCTCCCGTCCGTTCTGAGGGCTGATCTGCTGCTTGCTCGACTTTTTCCCGTTTGAAGGTAGAAGGGGACGGCAGAGGGGGTAGCTTCTCAGGGGCCTTGGTGAAGTGATCAATGACGCTCTTGCATTCTGTTATAAGGCGCTGATGCTTTCTCCAGGAGGCTGCCTTCACAACCTTCTCCAAGGCAGGGACTACGAGCCGCCCTAACCGAGACATTGGGGCCTGGGACTGCACCTTCGACGCCATGCTGCCAGCGTGTAGAACAGCTCGCACAGATTGGAGGTCCCCCAATCCTCCCTGTTTCTGTGAAGAAACCTGATTGAGTCAATCCTCGGGTCCAAAATCGCAGGAATTCAAAGAACTACTGGATATGTGTGGTATTCAATCTGCGCAGCTGTAGGATCAACCTTAGCACCGCTTTGCATTGACCCATCATAAGGATATTTCCTGCTGCAGTCCTGACACTTTTATCCTGGACGACCTTTGCCCCAACCTGACCACTGCGGTTCAAGCATTCTTTGCGGCTGCACTCTCCTCAGCCCCCCAAAGCCATGCTCATCATCACGATTCACGATGTAGCGCTTGCATTGGTATGAGCGTCAGAGCGAGCTGTGCATGACGGGCAGCCTGTGTACCTAGATCCGCCAACTAGAGCGGTGGTGACTCTGATTTCACTTGCAGACGAGATGTCGGAGTCCACTCCTTTCCGGTACGTACCGGTACCCGCTCAGTGGCAGACTCAGGTACGTGGGTACCTACTAGGTACGGTCGTACTACCTGCCGATACCGGTATAGCAAAGCTTGGTTGACCCGAGGGAAGTTCTCCCGCCCGATGATGGCGAGCGGCGCCGACTTGATCAAGTTTGACATCAACAGCCCCGGGCAGGCCGCTTGGCCTGGTGCGACCCAGGGGAACGCATTAATGCACTCGGTACCTACCGGGGCACGGCGGTACACCATAGTATGGTAGATACCGGTATTCGCGGTGCCCATTTCAACGTCTCATTGGGATTGTCAGATTTTTGAGCCAATGGCAAATCAAAGGATTTTGTGTGCAGTGTGAAATCTTGTGAAGCATGGATCCTTGACTGGGAGAGACCAAGGTCCAAGACTCGAACTCCGAGTCGAAGTATGGACGTGGCGAGTGACCCAGGTCCACAGGGCCTCGAACAGGTCGCCAATGTTCGTATCATTATGGTGGTTCTGTAGGAGGTGCTCAATACCCACTGCATGCGCTCTGGGCGTCCCATGTGAGCTCTAGGGATTACTGTCCTAAAGGTACCTAGGCCCTAGGGTTTCAGATGTCAGGCGCATTGGCGGCTTGTCGAGAAATCAGTAAGAAATGGCCTCCAAGTTGCGGTGCTAGCGTGTTCCTGGTCATTCTGCTGCATCCCGTCCTCATCAGCCTGGCGAGAGGGATCTTAGCCTGCTAGAATTTGGTTCCAGATCTCAACGTTGTCTGAGGATTTAAAGCGCGGGATTTGAAGCATGGCCATAGATGCACCATTCTGCTCCAGCCGGTTCAGATAGGGCTGCCAAAGCTGTTCAAGTGGGGTCTCTGCTAGAATGTTTGGGCTCACCTTTTAGCTTGTAGGACCTGAACACAAAGCGTCTTGCATACAGGTGCAGAAGACAATTGACCCTCATGATGGTAAAATAGACTGACAAGGCAGTATTTTGAGCTAGCTATCAAGAGTCGTCTGAACAGCCGGCCATGGCCCCTTTGGCGGGACCTGGTGGGGCAGGTGATTTTGCAGTGCCCGGACCGCCAGGTGCACTGGTTGTAGGAATGCGGAAAGCCAATGACAACGAGGAGGCTATTCTGGTCACTGTGCGAGTGCGTCCGCTTAGTTCGCAAGAGCTTGCAGAGAGGGACGTGGCAGTGTGGCGTTGCACCGACGAAAAGACATTGACATTCATGGACCACGTTCCGGAGAGGTCACCTTACCCATCTGCTTACGCCTTTGGTGAGTTGACAGTGTAATAATGCCTGCAACAGACCGTCTTGTGCAGTAAAGGAGGATGTGGCATGTTTTGGTGAGAGTTTACCCGCTTACTTTAGAGTTCGAGGACTACTTGCAGCTCGCTGCTAGAGTACACATAGAAGAGCATGCGGAGACATGGCGGCAGAAACAGCATTGTCAGAGAGACCGATCAGAAACATGCTTTTGCATTGTAAGATTCTTTGTAAAGCTTCTTCCAATTGCAGGACTATCTACTGCATAACAATTGGACGTACGGTATTGTACCCATGCTATCTGCAGAATTGTGAAAAGTCTCTCTACTTGCCTCGGTCTGAGACTGACGGAGCTTATTCAAGTGATAAACCACATTCCTAATAATTGCAAACCACAAGTTGGGGGAATTGCTCTTCTCGGAATCTGCTGTATTACTCTTGATTTGACAGACTGACATCTTGCTTGAGTAACAAGCCAGATTGTGTGTTGCAGATCGCGTTTTTGGGCCTGTGGCTTCATCAGAACAGGTGTATGCAGAGGCAGCACGCGACCTTGTGCAGTCATCCTTGAGCGGTTTGAATGGTCAGTCCCCTGTCTTTGCACATCCTTTGAGGTCTGGTGGTGGGTTGCATGTGATCCGTTGCTGGTGTCCTCGTGCTTTGGCCTCACTATATTTGTCACTATGGCATGATGCGGCGGAAGCTGGTGCTAGTATCTGTGAGTTGATTCTCTGCATAGCCTGTGGAATTTGATGAGCATGAATCAGTGGTTCACTTTCTACTGCAGCCACGGTTTTCGCATACGGTCAGACAAGCAGTGGAAAGACCCACACAATGCGGGCCGTGTCGCGGAGTGCCGTGCAAGATATTTTTGAGCACATACAACGGGTGAGATCATCAATGATGCTGCTTCTTTCGGCAGAGAAGGACACTCTTACAATGCAACCTCTGTAATGTACACTGGCAGCCTTAGCTTGGGCTTAAAAGCAAGTCTTCAGTAAGATTGGTGGCCGCATCACATGGGACGGCATGCAGGCTCATGCAGATGCAGCGCATGTGTCGCTACTCGCTTTAGGACATTGTGGACAGCTTAATGAGAGTGACGTACGCGCCCTTGGTTCTGCTGTTTCTGAGGAGGGAATGGACCCCCAGGGATATAAGCGTAGCTGCTTCTATCAGCGTGTGCCCGTTCATGTATTTGATTGGTTTTGATTGGTGTGACTCCGTCTGTGCAGACCCCACAGCGGGAGTATCTGATCCGCGTGTCTGCTCTGGAGATTTACAACGAGGTGGTGCGTGACCTGCTGCGCCCTGACAGTGGCCCGCTGCGCTTGCTGGACGACCCTGAGCGCGGCACAGTTGTGGAACGCCTCGCCGAGGAGGTTGTTCGCTCAAGCGGCCACCTCTATCAGATTCTGGAAGACTGTGAAGGTCAGCCTGGCTTTGGGTGGAAGCAAGAAAATCTACGGGGTTCGAACGCCAACGTTAAGGAGGGCTTCTGGAGCGGACATGCGTGATTTAGTCAACTGTTTCGCAGTGACAACGTTTCGTGGAGTAGATTGATATCAGTCACCGATGATGTCGTTGTGAAGGTTCGCCGAAGTACACAGGAGACCAAACATATGAAATGGATGCTGAAAGGGTCTCTTTCTCAGCACCTACTTTTGTTCTCATCGAGTGGGGTGCCTGGTGGGTGCAGCGCAGCGGCAGGTGGGCGAGACGATGCTGAACGACAACAGCTCGCGGTCGCACCAGATCATTCGCCTGAGCGTGGAGAGCTGCCCCAGCATGGAGGAGGGCATGGTGGCAGGGGCGGGCGGCAGCCACGTCCTCATGAGCGTGCTCAACTTTGTGGACCTGGCAGGCAGTGAGCGCGCCTCGCAGACGCTGGCAGAGGGGGCACGGCTCAAGGAGGGGGGCCACATCAACCGCTCCCTACTCACCTTGGGCACAGTCATCAGGAAACTAGGGTGAGGGGCAGACGGGACAGCACCATAGCACATGACACGGTGTTACAATTACCATTCTGTTGTGTGTCCTGCACTGGCAGACATTCGCCAGCCGCTTATCTCCCAACCTGGACCCACATGTTGCCTTTAGATCTGATGAGGAGGGAGATATTGCAAACTTGATGCTGACAGTACAACTAGACATGTATTAAGAGCTCGTCCGGAAGGGTGTGATCTGCGAAGAAGGGAGGGGGAGTACAGAGGCAGTTGGCTGTGTCCCGGCTGGTCTGGTCCTGCGTTTTTCGCACCTTTTCAGCCTTCCCCACCCTCTGGGCTGCAGAGAGAGTAACAAGCTACGGCGCGGTCACATCCCATACCGGGACTCCAAGCTGACGCGGATTCTGCAGCACTCTCTGGGGGGCAACGCGCGCACGGCCATCATCTGCACCATGAGCCCCGCGCGCGCTCATGTGGAGCAGACTCGCAACACGCTCTCCTTTGCCACGCGGGCCAAGGAGGTCACCAACAGCGCGCATGTCAACCTGGTAAGCAGGCCTGCTGCCACTACCCCTTGACGCACTTGACAGTGTTTGCACAGCAGGCGGTTGTCTTCAGAAGTTACTCTTAACATCTCATGTTCCGCAGACGCTGGGAAGCTCAGGCTGGGCCGTTGTTGGGTTGGTCACCCCCCGCCCTGTGTTTTTCGGTGCAGGTCGTCAGCGACAAGGTGCTCATCAAACGGCTGCAGCGGGAGGTCGCCCGGTTGGAGGCAGAGCTGGCCGTGGCAGCCAACCCTCGGGAACTGCAGGCGCGCGACATCCGGATACAACAGGTCAGCGGGTGTATAGAGCTTGCGCTGCAGTAGAGGCTGTTTGGCCATGGACCAGCCTTGGAAGCTTTCTGCAGCTTACCTGACCTCTCCGCTTGTGGTTGCGCGCGGGTCCTTCGTGCAGCATATCCTCCGGGTTGCACGTGTGCGGGGCCTTTGAGCAGGCGCTGAGCGGCGCTGGTGGTGTGCAGATTGAGATGCAGCTGCACGAGCTGGTGCGGCAGCGGGATGCCGCGCAGGCACATGCACGCGAGCTGACCAAGGCCATGATCAAGGGCGACAGGGGCGACGAGACCTCGCAAAAGGTAGGGACTTCTCCTCCGGAATTCTAGGGCCCTGAACAGGTTGCGATAACTTCGCCTCCAGTATTGCCGGGCCACTGCCTGACGCACTTCAAGAAAGTCTAGTCCATGAGGAGCTTGCACCCCTTTCAACGTCCATTGTTCGCCCTTTCAGGCGACCAAGTCTTGGAGCCCGGATACTGTAAAGAAGCTGCTGCGCCGATCAGGGAAGAAGAAAAAGACTCGGCTTGGGGCACCCGACGACGTGAGCATCGAGAGCGCGCCCCTGTTCGGCACCAGCGCGAGCCGCTTCCTGGAGTACAAGGAGATGCGTGAGCGGCGGCGGGAGCGACAGCGCGAAAGGGAGAGGGTGAGGCCGGCAACTCGGGAGCCGCTCTTCAGCGGAATGACGGGCTGCCCCGGTCCTCTCTCGTGCACTGTATGCATGTGATGCGGGCCGTTCTGTGGAGTGCAGTCCTGTGCTGAGATTGATTGTTGTCTGCCATGGGTTGTGGCGTGCAGGAGCGGGAGGCGGAGGCGGCCGTGCTGGACGGGGAGAAGCGCAAGCTGGAGACGATGCACGAGCGGCTGGGCCAGGGGGCGGACGTGGCAATGCAGGCGCTGCACAAGGAGATTGAGTGCCTACGGCTGGCGCAGGCCCAAGCCGTGGTGGGGGGCGCCAAGTCCGCCGACATCGCAGGTCAGCGCTGGGGCCGGCCTCTCAAGGGGGCTTCTGCTGGAATGAGTGCCCTTGATTGTTGCTAAAGCGCAGACGAAAATCCGAAGACGGACCATGGGTTGCCCGGCCAGTCCTGCATTCCGGTCCCCGTCTGATTGCTCTGTGCGGCTACAAACGTGATGACCCAGTTATTTGGTAACCCGAAGTAGCCCGGGCCACAGCTGGCATGCTTGTGCTCATGCGGCGCCTCTTCTCCGTGGGCAGGCATGATCGACAAGCTGCAGGCGGAGCTGGAGGGGCTGCAGGCGGCGCAGGCGGCGAGCGTGCCAGAGGAGGACGCTGGCGCAGAGGCGGCCCCGGAGGGGGAGGCCCCCCCTGGGATGCGCAAGGCGGCAGTGAATGCCAGCATGGAGCGGATGATCCAGCTGCTGCGGGATGAGCTGGCGCGCCTGCAGTCCGCCACCAAGGCGGACGAGAAGGCGGACCAGGAGATCAGTGCACTCGAGGAGAAGCTTGAGAGTACGTGCGCCCTGCCAACAATCACGTGTGTGAACTTGTTTCGAAGGACTTCTTTTGCCCGGCGTAATACTTTTCAATGCACAAGTGGTCATTGTTGGACGATAGTCGCCTGTGCTCGGTGGTTACCGCCCTGTTAGTCAACTGGAGCTCCGCCAGGCGGAAGGAACAGCTTCAGCATAGCCTGTGCTTTGGTGAAACCGAATTTCTCGTTGAGTACCCATAGTCATCTTTTGTCACGGCTTCTGCGGCCTCTGAACAGGAACGCCCTCCGGTGCTTGCTCACAGGCCGTGACGGAACCTTTGAGAGTCTTTGAAGCATCACCAAATCCTCCAAGAAGCCGACAACTTGGAAGTGGAACAACAGAGCATGCCGACTCGACCAGAATTTCCCCTGCTGGAACCTCTCTGATGTTTCTGCCCCACCACTCCCTTCAGGTGCCCAGCTCTCACTGGACAAGTTCTATGACAGCGCCACTCCGGGGGACGACCCGCTGCTCTCCAGCGGCCGCCGCGTATTGGCGCCCCGCTCCCCTGGCGGGGCCAATGCAGCAGGCCCGCCTGCCTCGCCGCGCCTGCACCGCCGCTCGCCGTCAGCAGGAGGAGCCCTCCCCGGGGGGCACCAGGAGAACGACGAGAACGCTCCGGGGGGGCAGGACAGCGGGCACTACAGCGCCCCAGAGGATGGCGAGAAGACGCCGCGACGAGGGGGCGCGTCGAGCGTGGATATCCGGCGCATGCAGAGCCTGTTCAAGACGGCGGCGGAGGAGAACGTGCGCAGCATCAAGAACTACGTGACCGAGCTCAAGGAGCGGATCGCCAAGCTGCACTACCAGAAGCAGCTGCTCGTCTGCCAGGTGAGGGGCGCGCAGCAGGCACACACTCCCAAGGACGGGCACCAAAGCGGGGCGCAAGGGGCATCCCCGAAGCGACGGGCCCGCATGAAGGGGGTTCAGCTTAGGGAAATTTTGTCGCTGAGTGTTAACTGGTGGCTGGGATGCAGGCACCCACAAGATGGTGCCTCGGCAGACTAGTCTCACCACCCTTGATGCCTCCAGTTTGCAGGTTTAGCCACTGGAACCCCTTACTCGATTGAAAGGATGCAATGAGGGCTTCAGGGACTGCTGAGATTTAAAGCTCCCACTGATGGCCCTCTCCCAATGTTCCGCTGGCCAGAAGTGCTATACTCAGGGGTGCCACATTCGATCTCTCGACCTTGACAGGTGCACAAAGACGTTGCATCTTCGTGTGCGCATGGCAGGTGTTGGAACTGGAGGGCGCGGCGCGGCGCAGTGGCGAGGAGAGCGAGGGCCCCGCAGGCCTGCGGCCGGAGGTGTGGGTGGCGCGCTGCGAGGAGCAGACGGCGGCCATCGTGCAGCTGTGGGACATGTGCAACGTCAGCCTGTTCCACCGCACCCAGTTCTACCTTCTCTTCAGCAGCGCGGCCGCCGCGGACCACGTGTACCTGGAGGTGGAGCAGCGGCGTCTCGAGTGGCTGCGCGAGCAGTGCCTGCTCACCCTCGAGGACGGCCACGACGAGCCCCGCGCCATCCGCGGCTCCCTCAAGCGCCTGCGCCACGAGAGGTACGTGCATATAGCAAAGAGGCCCACTGCGCAGGGTCAGAGGCCGGCTGTTACTGTTGCATTGAGTCGTGCATGTAGGTTCGTGTCTGGAGCCGCAGCTTAAACGTTGGGGCTTAGCTGACCTTTGGTGGTCTGGCGCAGGGACGTCTTGGCCCGACGAATGCGGGACCGGTTAAGCGACATGGAGCGCGGGCTCTTGTTTGAACAGTGGGGGGTGCCGTTGACCTCCAAAGCCCGGAAGCAGCAGCTGGCTGCGCTGGTGTGGAACAACCCCTTCGATGCCAAGCATGTCCGCGACAGTGCCGACCTGGTGGCGCGCCTCATGGACTTTGGAGACGCCTCCACGCTGGTGCCAAAGGAGATGTTTGGGCTCAAGTTTGCGCAGCCAGGTCGGAAGAGAAACTGGCTCATGCGCATTGCATCGACAGGTTGACTACAATCTTCAGGAATGCTTGAATTGGAAATAATGCTTGCTAATAGAGCAATCAGTAGGGAGTTGCGACAGGAATTCGATCACTAATATGTACATTAATATTGCTTTGACTTGCTTCTTTCAAGTCGTTGGCCAGCACGATCCTTTAAGCACATATGGCAAGTTTGGGGTTTTTGCAAATCTTCCAATATTGTCATGCTGTCGGGGCCCAACGGTGCACCTCAACGACCCTGCCGCGCTTCTCTTCATTCAGATGGTCACTTGCAATTTAATAAACCCTGAGCCATATGCGTTGAGCCAGTGGGCAACGCTCCGGTGACATCCTGAGATTAATGTACCGTACGGTTAGGAACTTGCCCGCGCGCGGGCCTGCGATTTCGAAACCTGGGTGCCAGCATGTGGGTCACCGTCTTAAGTTCGGGTGGCTCAGTCGCTAATTAATTCGATCGACAATTGCACGTAGCACACTGAGTGGATCTCCAATCTCCAATATTGGCGCGTAGTACTGGCATACAGCACATGATCGATGGCCGGAGAATTGACCCGCTACGTACATACGTATACATACGTTGATCAAATCATGGTCACTACGATGCACGAGATGATTTGCGTGATCGTGGACAGTGACTATGCTAGCGGCCGGCGCCGCCACTAACTAATTGAATTGCAGCGGCAGTTATATAGAGTACAGTCACTCAGTAGTTGAGTCAGTCAGGACGGTACAATCATTGAATACTAATTTGTCGATCGCAGAACATATATGTACTTAAGTTGCATGCCATGATGGCGTGGTTTGCGACTGGTGCCTATATATACCGTACTGGCACGTGGCCGCGCGGTTTATACGTACATGCCCTATAATTGCCATATGCAACTTACGATCGATGCACATGGTGTACTAGGGTATACGTAAAGACCGCCGCAGCCGGCCCACCCATGTGACGGTTGGA